TGGGGACAGGTATGTCGTTATATCATGCTTGTACTGTACAATCTTATTCAAATATCAGTTTTATTGTATTTTTTGAATTTCAGATTATAGACCACGACTTAACACTAACCGCCTCCACAAGAGGTATTTATAACAGATTTATTGCAATTACTGTATACTCCTTAAACTAATATCATATTTAAAACATGAAACGCAAGCATCGACTGGCGAGGGGTTGCACTGTTGTCATGAGGAGGCGCGTCGGGCCACTAAAATCCGTCACCCGGCCTGCAAACCCATTCTCATACCACGAGACGACCCATTTTACAGCCAACACAACCATTTCTGCAATAACTTTGTCAGAAATGCAGCCGGGCCTAAATATGACTGCAACTTAGGTATAGTTTCATAAAAATTAATAAATAAATTTTTCTTAATACTTCAAATTTTACATAGGATACAGGGAACAAATTAATACACTAACACATATAATTGATGGGTCAATGGTATATAAGAAATCATTTTTACAATTAGTTGAATAATTTGTATTAAATGGTAGGTTTATGGCTCTACAGAAGAAAGGGCTAAATTTTTGCGATCTTTTCAACACGGTTTGCATTATTATATGTTATAAATAATAAGAGTCTAAAGCTATTTTTTAATTAAAAGGGAAACTAAGAGTAGATAAAGTGAATGGATATGAATTCCTTCCTTTTGACACTCAAAACAGATCAGATGAATGCGGTATTCCTTCTAATCTTCAGAGACAACGAGGCTATCAATGTTTTGTTGGAGGTCTGACTTTATTCAATGTTCAATATGACCTGACTTTACATTTATTATTATATTTTTAAATAAATTATAAATTCAAAATACGTAGTCTCTCTCTCTCTCTCTCTCTCTCTCTCTCTCAATGCTTTTAAATTAATGAAATATTGGAAATTTCAATTTGAAATCTTTAGGTGATGTGAGAGTCAATGAGCAAACAGGTTTAACTATGCTCCATAATGTATTACTAAGGTAAATATAATTATATTTATAAAATTCATTACAAACATTGAATGTTACATCAAATTATTATTCAATTTGAATTGCAGAGAACACAATAGAATTGCAAGTGTTTTACTAGAACTAAATCCAGGTTTTGTATATATATCTACTAATATAATACATTACATAAAGTTGTCTAAAATATTTAATTAATAAAAACTAATATAACTGATTATTTAAAGAATGGAGTGACGAATCGATATATCAGGAAACCAGAAGAATAGTGGCCGCAGAGATTCAGACCATTACTTACAATGAATGGATGCCTTTAATAATAGGTAATATTACAGTATTAATATAACTGTATATTAATAACTTCATTTCTAAGAAAAGCTAAATGCAAGACATCTTTTTTCTAAGTTTAATATCTTACAAACTTAGTAACAAATTGTTAGATAAATAATATTTATGTAGTATCCGACAAAATGTAGCATGAGTCATGTCCTTTTAACTGTTTAATAATAATATGATACAATTAGTGTACAATTTTGTTGCTATTAAGATGTTTAAGGCATATTTTGAATATATAAAACTCCAACAAATTAGGCCGAAGTGTTATGAAAGAGTTTAATCTGTTAACGAAACCAAACGGATATACCTATGATTACGACAATCATCTGAATCCCGGAATCTTTAATGAGTTCGCAACTGCTGTCTATAGATTCCATACACTCATTCAGGTTTGGACTCATTTTTGGATTAATTGAATTAAAATTAATTTTAAAATTCATAAACTAGGGTTTATTGAGACTTTTGAATAATGCGGGACAAGTGACACAAACCATTCAACTGAGAAAACATTTCAATAACCCGTCGGCGATGTATAGAAAGGGAGCTTTCGATGAGTTTTTGAACGGATATACAGGAAATCCGACTCAAACTTTTGATCAGTTTTTCACTGAAGACGTGAGTAATGAATTGAAATCATTGCTCTCATGTTTGCATTGTATTTCATTTATATAACAAGATTTTTATTTTCAGATAACAAACCATTTATTCCAAGAACACAATTCCCGCTTTGGAATGGATTTAATTGCACTCAACATTCAAAGAGGTTTGTCATATATGCTATTCAATTATACCATGCTCATTTTCATAATAGTTCACTATATCAAATTTCCCAATCAAATGGCACGGTATATTCAAAACTATATTATATCATTATTCATTTACAATGAATTAAGTTGCATAAAATTTTATAAACTTTATTATTTTAAAATACATTTTGATTACAAATGTAGCAAATTTAAACTCAAATAAATTTACTGATAATCATGAAGACATTAAATGAGATGCACTGTAAGGGAAATCCTTTAATCTATGATAACATTTGATGCAATTATACTAAACTCTAGCTATAGAAGTACTCAAAGAATAACGTTTGAAAATCAATTAATAATTAATTGGCTATCGATGTGATGATGATTATCTTATAATTGAGTCTTTTGAATGTCTCTTAAACTGAAAGCCTGAAGCGTTTGATTATTATAACTGTTAGGACGAGATCACGGGCTGCC